GACAAAGCACATTTCACCAAAGTTATTTTTCACACATGATCTTCAAAAGAATGGTGATATCAATGTGCAACAGATCCGTTCAAGTGATAATATGGCTGATTTGTTCACCAAATCTCTACCGACGTCAACCTTCAAGAAACTAGTATACAAGATTGGGATGGAAAGGCTCAAAGATGTGAATTGATGCTCTCATCGGGGGGAGTTAATATGCGTTGTACTCTTTTTTCCTTACAAGGTTTTGTCCCACTGGGTTTTCCTTGCAAGGTTTTTAACGAGTCAACCAAAAGGCGTATTTCTAAACATGTGTACTCTTTTTCCTTCACTAAGATTTTTTTCCAATAGAAATTTTTCCTAATAAGGTTTTAACGAGGCACATTATCTATGGACATCCAAGGGGGAGTGTTATAAGAAAAATTAAATTATGGTGGATGTCTACTCTTCCTCCATGATCTTCTCAAATGCTTAATGACATATTTCTATGCTTAGTGACATATTCAATGACATATTTTTCTTCACTTTTCATGCCTATATAAAGGCCTTGTAATAGATAGGAAAATACACACAATTGAAGAAGAAAATCTCTTTCTTCTCTATCTCCATTTCTTGTTCATGTTTTATTAAATTGCTTTTATTTCATAACAACATGTCTTGTTCATGTTTTACTAAGTTGCTTTTATTTTATAACATATATATTTTTTTGTGTTGGGTTTTCTTTTATACAATCTTTGTTGTTTCTGCTCCTAGTTATACTAGAAGAGTTTGTTGAATTCCGGGAATACACCTAATTTTATTTATTAGGGTGTGAGCGAAATATCCTTAAGGATAGTGTCCTTGACACGTCTCAAGCTAAATCTTATTCTCCATATCATTTTTTCCAACATTACATAATTTGTGATACACGAGAGACTAGTTCATTTAAAACATAAACACTCTAGTAATTCATTAAAACATAATCTATCTAAAGATCGCACAACATCATGAAATATAATTTCCCAAGAATCACTTGTACGAACGAAACAGAAAACTTAGATGAATCACAGTACGAAGACAACCTGATCTAAAATAGAAAACATGTGCCAAATATCTTCACAAGCAACATTCACATCGCACTGCTACGACAAACATTGGCTTCCCAAATTATAAATATGAACAAAGTAATTGGAGAGAATTAATACTAAAAGCATTTTGAACAGTATATAAAGCTTAATATAGTTTGTAAATTGATAATTCCTCTCCAGTTTCACCGGACCCGACCAGCTGTATCAATATCTGACTATCCAAATTATGAGTCCTACTTACAATGTAAAAAAGAAAAACAATCAAAGATGTTTAAAGTTAAACCTGATTTCACAACAAGCATGTTAAAACCAGCAGATATCTATTTCCTATTTTCCTGTTTTTAAAGAACTCAGCCATTCTCAGTTATTTGTTACTATGTTTTGTCTGTCCTATTTCTGTAGCTGCAAAATTTATGGCTACTTGATGTTAAACATGAGCTTCAATGCTCTTTGGAATTTGTCCATTCCAAGTATAACTTTCTGATTTATTATCCTCTTCTTCATTTTCTTCCATTGTTTCTCCTTCATTTATAGACACCCCTTTAGCTGAACCTGAACCAGTAAAATGAAGAGGGCCTTCAGGCGAACCAGATTGTGTAGCATTTGTCTTTGAAGACTCTCCTATTTCATCCATTGTAGACCATGAACAACCCGATACTGGGACTCTTCGGACATGAAGTCTAAATTTCTGAAATTAAGGAGTAAGTTTTCCATCATTAGGTGCATTGGCGGATGGAGTATACAATCAAATTGAGCCCGTATTTTGACACAGAAAATAGATATTTGAAAAATCATTAAAGTTTCAATCCATTTTAAGTTCTGAATCGATAACTTCGAATGTGTGCTGAGTTTAATTAGTGGTAAGAACTGAAAGATTTGACGGATCAGTTTTTAAATACTGGATCCGCCCCTAATCATCTGCTATGAAGCAACACATGAGACTCTTATTTGTTAAACACAACTCGAAAAGAAATTAAAAAGTACCTGTAAATGGCTTTTCACTTCGTCATTGGTTAGGCCATCCACTTGCATGATCTCTCTTATCTGTTTTGGTGTAGCCACTGCAGGAAATAAGTTCAAAATTATATTAAATGTTTTGGTTGGATATAAAAGTATGACATAGAATAATCATACCAGATGAAAGACATGATAATGAAGTAGCATAGTGGTGACATTATATTAAAGATTGACGACAATGTTTAATTGTTGATTGAAGCGACAAAATATAAAATGAGAGTTTTAATATGTATAAAAAAAATGACTTTTGTTGTAATAGGAGTCTCTTTTTTTTCTCTTTTGATAAGAATTACATCAAATATTTTGAGCAATTCAACATAACTAATATTGAAAAATGATTGCATTATTAAAAAAAAAAACAGAAATAATTGCTACCATAACAAGTATAACAACACCACTTTACATGAATATCACCTTTAGGCAAAATCAAGATCCACCCTTTACCCACTATCAACATTGTTTTCACTTCACTTATGGATGTGCAAAACCAACTTGCATTTGCCCTTTTTTGTTCTTTTCAAAATCCACCTTTCCAGATTGAATTGTTGGATTGTCAGGTAATGACACACAGTAGTGAAAGTTTTCCATTACCCTTTCCTAGAATAAAAGAGAATAGAAAAACAAAATAGAAAACACAGAACAACAACAACAACAACAAAAAAAAAAAAAAGAAAAAAAAAAAAAAAAAAAGAAAAACGTATGGAATAGGTAAGGCTAGCATCAAAATGAGAATAAAAAGTGGATTCAGAAAATGATGTATTCTATCTGCTTAAATTACTTGTACCGGTGAAATAATTGATATGCGCGCAAACGACAATTGTCATAAGAAAATGAAAATAAAAAAGGAAGTGCTCTAACCTTGGGGACCTCCAAGTTGATGAAGAGCATCAACAAATCTACGATGCAATTCTGGAGACCAGCAACGCCTCTGTTTCCTCTGCTGTGATTTGTCCTGTAAAAAATTACTACTACACCCATTTGATCTGCCGCCGCCGTTATCTATTTTCACACTCACATCAACTGGATTTGGACCCTCTTCTCTCTCACCCACTGCCATACACAGGGACAAATCATTGACTGGTTTACCATTTTTCTCATCTTTCACCGATCGGACAGAATTTTCTTGAAATGGCATAAATGCCCCTCTGTCATTCTTCAATTTATATATTCCTAACTCGTATTCATTCTCTCTCTCTCTCCCTTCTGCACCACTCTGATATCAACAATTTAAACGCACAAACAAAATGTCAAAAATTCCAGTCTTACAATTTTTTTTTGCAAATCAGATTCTTAATTATTCTGGAAAAAGAATCTTACAGATTTTAGCTGTAAAAACTGTCCCTGCTTTCCAAGATCAATGCTTTCATAGTGAACTGGGGTGCTCCACAGCTGAGCAGAGCTCATCCACTTTTTCTTATCACTTATGTCATTTGACATTTTTACCCTTCCACTTTCATTAGAATTACTTTTCAATGGAATGAATTCCTCCATCACAGGCCTTTTACCTTTTCCCTTATACTGCAAAGCTTCCTCCTTTAATCTCTCAATAGCTGTCAGATTAATTAAAACCAAAACTAAATTAAAAGGGATGCAGAAAAAATGAAAAAGACAGAAAAATTAAATTAAATTAAATTAAAAGAAGCTGACCATCTTTTAGGAGAACCATGCAAAGGGGCAATTCACGTTTGAAAGCTTCGATCTTTCTGAGTTCTTCTTCTAAAGAAAGAACAAAGTGATTGAGCTTTGACAATTTCTTAGATATATCATCTATGGCAGAAACTTCTGTTAAAACATCTGAAATGATTTTCGGCACGTAAACACAGTTCAAATCCAAATTCAGTTCTTTAGAACTTGAACCCATATTTTTTTCTGTCAGATATTTATTCCTCTTATCTTTTTCTCACATTGCCTAGAGAAAAAAATGAATGAATAGTAGAGGGTGAAGAAGTCTGATATTTATATAGCACAGTTACACTTTTCAACGATAACGAGGGCAAAAGTGGAAAGTTTGATTCTAAAAGCTTGAAAGATTCGATAGTTTTTTTCACATTCGGGTCGTCGCATATATGATTGAGTTAACTGGGAAATACGGTTAGTCATACATAACGAGTTTTAGCTAAAGGAATCTTTTGACTCTGTACGGAGAAAATGGAATTAAATTAAGTTTACTTATTTTTTATAAGAAATACTTATTTACTTTTCAAGATTCTGCGTTTTGAGGCGGTCGGCTACGTTTGTTGACTTTAATTCCATTTTTTTTGATAAGAACGGAAATGGGAATATTTAACTGTATGGACAACATTGCCCTTGTTATATGACTTTTTTCAACATCTTACAGATTAATGTGATCAGATTCTCTGTTTTTGCTTTAATTGCAAAATCAGTTTCAAGTAAAGGTTCACAAGATATAGCCAAAAACAGAACAGTTTTGGATTCTACCTCTACTTCTTTAATTTTCCTCTTTTGAGGCCTTAAACTGCTATTATGTCTAGGCCATGTTTGGTGAGTGTTTGAATATCAAAATTCTTATGATTTTTTTATTATTTGATATTGACATCTCAATAATTTTTAATTTTTTTATGTTCTAACTCGTACTATATCAAATGACAACTTAGCAGCTAGAGGCTACAATTCAAAATGTGGTGTCAAGAATTTTAAATCTTTTAATATAGGGCCATTAGTACCTTCTTAATTTTACCGTACTCTCTAATTAATTATGCCGGAAAAAAAATTATTAATATCAAAAAAAATTATATTAATAAATTACCGTACTCTCTAATAAATAAATTAATAAGTTGTTGTCTAATTAATTATGCCGGAAAAAAGATTTATTGAGTATAATTTGTTAGAAAAAATTCAGCAAGGTGATTACTCCTTGATTAAATGAGAGCAATCTAAGATAGTTTATGATCTATGATTGCCAAAGAGACTCATTATTTTTCTTTCTTTTATTAACTTTTGATTTGAGGGATTAAAGGTGATTTAGTTCCTTTTTGAAAATGTATTTTCCTCTTTAATTTGCGTTACAAAATTTTAGGAATGTCCTATTTTTTAAAAAATCTTTTTTATTAAAATATACATTTGAAAATTGAGGAATATTTTTGAAACTTTCAACAAAATTTAATTCCTTTCGTAGAAAATGCCAAGTTCATTTGATTCCACGTAGGAAGTGAACAGCCTTTGCTTCATTTGTTAAGTTTTTGTTGTGAATTGCTTCTAAATTTTAAAACTAATTTAACTTATATGATTTTGTCTTACTTAAACTTTAATTTTACAAGATTATTGTATTCTTTCAAAAAGCAAATAATTATTTTTTTCAGAAATGTGATATGCGACTTTCATTAGTTATCTTCTTCGAATGTATAATAATTAATATGAAATGCACGTGCAATTTATGTGCTAAGATGAGTTATTTATTAATCCCTAAGTATGGAGTCGCATTTGTTAGGGAGCGCTTTACCCCCCAATGTGGGACTTTCCAGCTCGATTCCGGATTTAATCGGGCCCCATTGTGGATACGGAACACCAGGTTGGAAACCAAAAAACTAATACTTATGAGCTCTTTTAACTATAAAAAAGTTTGTGCAAATGAAAAAATAAGGCCAAACATGGCATTAATATCCACCCTTCAAGCATGAGAACATGTCCATCTAAGCTTCGCAGAACAATCAACTCTTTATACTAGTCTTCGGATGGTGATTACGTAATCCAAGTTTTTTTTAACTATAATTTTACTGAAAATAAGAAGAAAAAATTAAGGCAAAACTGTAGTAACCTTATTGAGGTTTAAGCATATATAGAAAATTCTATATGTATAAGAAAAATATAATTGAGTGTAATGAAATGATAATAAATAAAAATATGAATTGCGGCTGAAGTACGATCATATGTATATGTTATGTGTGTGTTTTATATGCATATTAATTTCTTGACACATGTATTGCACGTGTATATCGAATTATTCAAAGATTTCTTTAAAAAATATATAACACTGTTAAAATATATTTTTATTAGTTATATTTATTTCTTTGAATATGGCATGAGATATTTAATAATTATGAGAACTATTAAACTAGCAAAAAAAAGCTAGCACAAATGAAAAATAAAGCCAAATATTACCCTGCAATAATGGCGTCAGCATGAGAACATGCTCATCTCAGCTTCCCAGAACAATCAACTTTTTAGATTTACTACTCTTCGGAATTCTTGCCACAATCCAAAATTTACTACAGGTCGCGATGGCGCCTAACGCCGCCGTCAGGCCAAGCCAATGGTGATTGATCAATTTAACTACTTATTTTATTACTTTCGAAATCATAAATTTTAATAAGAAGGAAATTTACATTTTTAAATTCACGGGAATGTACAAAATTTATAGTTTGTAAGAGAAATGAAAGGCGAAGATAATATACATAACCGTAAACATCAACTAGTATATCCCAAAACCTAGTATCACAAGTGCATGAGCATTTACTAAGGAGTACAATAATAATACAACGTCTGTCTAGAATGTAAATGAGACGGGATAAAATGAATAGTATGATGGAGACTTTGTGAACTACGATGCATAGTCTGGAATGCAGCTCACGTAAAGTCTCCTCAACAGTTGCGCCTACGTACCAAGATGATCACCAAATGAACCTGTCAGATCCCGCACATTTAGTGCAGAAGTGCAGCATGAGTACGTAAATCAACGCGTACCCAGTAAGTATCTAGCCTAACTCTGGAGAAGTATTGACGAGTGGTCGACATCGACACTTACTAGTGGTCCAATAAATCAACATGATAACTCATAAGTAGATAAGAAGCACAACAGTAGTAGTGAGGTAAAACTGTAACTAACACAATCTTCCAAAATTTCTTTTAACGATATCAATTTCTCAATCTCGTATTCTAGCTCAACAGCTCAGAAATATCAAGTGCCAATATCAACAAATAAGGGAGTACCATATAAGATGCAAGGCCTCAGTGGAAGGAAGAACCTCGTGAATATTCAGACTGCTAGCTATATAACGCACGATTATGCCGAGGTTGTACGGCCAAATCTCAGAAAGAATATGATACCACCGAGGCGATCGACCCGATCCCATTAGGGGTGGGCATAATACCGACTGAACCGAAAAAATCGGTCATACCAAAAATTTTGGTTTATTTGATTTCGGTTTTTCGATTTATTCTGTCGATTTGCGGTTTATATTTTTTAAAAGTTTGGTGTTCGGTTCGGTGATCGATTTTAACGGTTTGATTTTCGGTTAAACCGAAAAACCGAAGTTATTTTACCAGCTTTTGGACTCTTAGTCCCTTACCATGTTACTCTTTCTTAGTCTTAAAGCCCAAAACTAATTCTCAACCTAAAGAAGCCCAATCCATTGGGTGTGTCAGACCTATAGCCTGTCACCTTGTCCAAGATCGACATATCTTTTACAAAAAACATGTACCGCAGGAAATTTGAACCATCTGAATAATGGATTTGTATATGCGCTAGTAACAAAGAGAAATTAACTACCAAAAATCACATAAATGCATAAAATTAAAAGTCTATCACGGAGTACCAATAAAAAGAGAAACACAAACTGACAACAAGTAACAATTCCAATCTGAAACTTATCAAATAAATCATACTTGTTACTTTTCAAATGAGTGAAGTATTCGAACATGGCAGATTAATGTATGTTAAGACAAAAATTTAAACTAGGAAGATTTTGGCTTTTTATAGTTTAGCTTTAAATATTTTGCACCAATGCAAGCTTAACGCAAGATACTGCTAATATTATTTTCTTTTCAGTTCTTGTAATGTAGAATGATTTTTCTTGCATAAAACTTCTTATCTTTTTCGTGTATTTGATGGGATTTCTTATTTCTTTTGTCTTTTTATGTCAATAAGAAATCTATTTTCGTTGTTTCGTAACATTTTTGTCATGGCTTGAAACCAAAAAATCGAACAGAATATGAATAAACCGAATTGAAGCGAAATTATTATGGTTCGATTTTGGTTATTAAAATCACAAACCGAAAACAGAATAAACCGAATCGAACTTCTACAAAACCGAACCGAATCGAACGACGCCCACCACTAGATCCCATTATAATGTGTACATTGCCGAGAGTCGAGCGGTACGAATCATAGATGCATCTACTATACTGCCGAAGCAAACGGCCTTGATAAATGATGAAAAATACATGTTTCTGAGTATATTTGCACATAATTTCTTATGTGAGTTGCGGGATATTTCATGTTTATAAACATATAATATGCTCATTACATGTTTATTGTATGTAGGAATGAATTTGGATGGAAGCTCGCAAGAATTGGATGATTTGATACAAAAAGAGTAGAGATGCAAGATCTGGGAGTGTGTCACAATTGGTGCATTGCATGAAGGTAGGCGCGAAATATCCTAGGAGATGAACAAAAAAAATAGTGAAGTATGGAGGTTGGCGCTGGACCTAGCACGCAGAAGAACAAAGAAGAAGAAAAACAACTGGGAGCGTGCTAGAAGTCGCGCGTTGCACCAACTCTAGCACACGACTCAACGTGTCCTTTTCGAATTTAAAGAGATCAAGGACGGCCCACATCAACCCTAATTAATATAAATATATCATAAAATGTCCTTTTGAAGGAGAGACACTACTTCAGGGTAAGACAACACATAAGGAGGCGAGAACACGCTAGAGGCAAGGACGAAGATTCAACCACGAGTTTTTCCCCTTCTTCTTCCTATTTTTCATTGTTGGTTATGATTTTTAGTATTGTAGTTTTACATACTATTATGAATAGCTAATTTATTATCTAGAGTTTTGATGGAACCTCTTGGAGGATGAATTCTTGTTATGTTTTAATATAATTTAACCTTTGGATTTATGTACTTGTTCAACTACGTGCTTATTTCAGTTGATTGAATGGCCATCGATTGATTGTGCCTATTTATTACGTGTTGCTTGAAAAAGGATACATATTTAGGTGGTTGTTGAACAAAGTCACTCCTAAGGTATATGAGAGATCAATATTGCGAGTTTAAAAGCGAGATT